GTGTGAGTGTTAGTGTGAGTGTTAGAGTGAGTGTTAGAGTGAGTGTTAGTGTGTGTGTCTGCTAGTGAGTGTTAGTGTGAGTGTTAGTGAGTGTCTGCTAGTGAGTGTTAGTGTGTGTAAGTGTTAGTGTGAGTGTTAGTGTGTGTAAGTGTTAGTGTGAGTGTTAGTGTGTGTGAGTGTTAGAGTGAGTGTTAGTGTGAGTGTTAGTGTGAGTGTTAGTGTGTGTGTCTGCTGGTGAGTGTCAGTGAGTGTGTCACTGTGTGTGTGTTAGTGAGTCTGTTTGATGTCTGTTAGTGAGTGTGTGTTTGTCAATGAGAGTGTATGTTTTGTAAGTGAGTGTGTATGTATGTCTGTCGCTGACTGTGTCTCTGTCAGTAAATGTGTGTGTCTGTTAGCTAGTGTGTATGCGTCTGTAAGTGTGTGTGTGTGTGTCTTCAGCACTTACCTTTCTCCAGCGCCCGGACTCCCTTGGCTGGGGATCCCTCAGCCTCTCAGCTCGAATGCGACCGCGACGCATTCAAACCGCCCATAGGAAAGCATTACTCAATGCTTTCCTATGGACGTTCGCTCCTCTAGTGGCTGTCAGTGAGACAGCCACTAGAGGCTGGATTAACCCTCAGTGAAACATAGCAGTTTCTCTGAAACGCTATGTTTTCAGCTGCAGTGTTAAAACTAGAGGGACCTGACACCCAGACAACTTCATTGAGCTGATGTGATCTGGTGTCCTGTAGTGGTCCTTTAAAGGACCACTATAGTGCCCTGAGGGTGCCCCCACCCTCAGGGACCCCTTCCCGCCCAGCTCTGGAAAGGGAAAAGGGGTAAAACTTACCTTTTTCCAGCACTGAGCGGAGAGCTCTCCTCCTCCGATCCTCCTCTTCTCCTCCCCGTCGGCTGTATGCGCACGCGCGGCAAGAGCTGCGCGTGCATTCAGCCGGTCACATAGGAAAGCAAAGCATTCACAGTGAGAAGCACGCAAGCGCCTCTAGCGGCTTCAATGAGACAGCCGCTAGAGGAAATGGCGCTGGCGTGCTCTCACTGTGAAAATCACAGTGAGAAGCACGCAAGCGCCTCTAGCGGCTGTCAATGAGACAGCCGCTAGAGGAAATAGGGGAAGGCTTAACCCATTCATAAACATATCAGTTTCTCTGAAACTGCTATGTTTATGAAAAAATGGGTTAACCCTAGCGTCCAGGTCCACTGGCACCCAGACCACTTCATTAAGCTGAAGTGGTCTGGGTGCCTAGAGTGGTGCTTTAAGTGTGTGTGCATCTGCATGCACTGGCGTACATACCGCGGTCGCAGGGGTCGCAGCCCTGTAACCCCTGCGACCAGGTGCCCACCTCCATGTGTTGCGGCCCGCGCGCGGGGGGGGGCCCACGGATCAATTTTCGCACTGGGGCCCCATGGGTCATGTGTACGCCACTGGCAGAGAGGGATGGAAAAACCTATTCCAGCCTTTCCTTCTGCAAATGGTGAGTACCCTCCCCTCTACAGCCCTTCTTATAATCCCATCTCTCTGAAACATTGTATCTCTCTCTATCCCAACCCTTACTGTAGGGCATCAGTTGTGCCTCCCCTTCCTTACAGTACAGGGGATCCCTTTCTTATGGAACAACCTGCCATCTCCCATCAGACTCTCCTAGTCTTCAACCCTTTTAGAAGTCCCTTAAAACCCTCTTCTTCTGAATAGCCTATGACAACCTTCAGCAGTCTAGATGTTTTGGACTACGGCCCCCTATAATCCTCTTACACCAATTATGCTGGCAAAGAATCCTGGGAGACAAAGTCCAAGACATCTGGACTTCCAAAGGTTGCCTTCCCCTGGCCTATGGCCTCCCAGGGTAGTTGTCACTTCTCAAACTACCTCTTACTCTCTCGTTTTCACTCTCACCAGTTCTACCATGTTCCCACTGTGTCAGTTGGTTACTCTCCTCCTCACTACACTTCCTATTGTGTTTTTATACACCATCTTACTCTGGATTGTAAACTTTTTCAAGCTGGGTCCTCATCATTTGCTTTACTGTAGCAAGTGATCTACAGCTTTTCTGGCCATTTCAGCAGCACTAAATCTCTGTTACCGTAATGTGCGATGGGCGATGGGAAGTGGGATAGCTCACAGGTATTTTTTGATGTTTGATGGGGGGTTTAAGTTTGGCTGATAAATACTATAGCGTTAACTATCAGGCTTTGTTTTACTCCATTTTATTACTCCGTTATCATGTCTTGAGCACACTTTAACATCTCACATATTAGTTTTTCTTAATCTGGCACATTTTGTCTGAAACCAGTGTGAATCTGTGATCTGTTGGCAGCCATTGACAGCCCTCTCAATCCATCTTACCACCACCTTCCTCTGAATGGACAATCTTTATGTCAATTTATAAACTAACATACAGATTGGCTGGCTTCACTGTGCTCGGCTTACCAACTAAAAACTAAAGAGCGCTATTTAAATTATAGTTAAAATTATTTAATAATAATATTTATTCTAATAATATAATGATATATTTTAACCTCTGTTTTCTGACAAGGGCAGCAAGGCATAGAGAACATATTATGGGATATACGATTTTTAATTAGAGGACTGATAGATCCTGATTGGGGGCAGTGTGAGTGTTCTGGTAGCTGTATCTCGCCTCTTTTAACACTCCTATAATATTCTTACAATCAGAGGATTATAGCGACACCTAGTGTTTACATGCAATTTTATGTGGATCTATTGTCTTGCTTTTATCTTTCCAAATTAAACTAGTGGTATCAAACGAATAATATACGCTAAGATTAGATCTAATGTTCCAAGTAGGTTTTTAGGTGGATTTGAGATTTTTTTATTTTTTTTATTTCGTACATTCTCCATTTTAGCTTTTACTGTTTTTCAAGTTACATAGTTACATAGCTGAAAGGAGACTTGCGTCCATCAAGTTCAACCTTTCTCCAACATGTTTTTTGCTATTGATCCAAAAGAAGGCAAAAAAAAAAAAAAAACAGTCTGAAGCGCTTCCAATTTTGCAACAAACTAGGAAAAAATTCCTTCTTGACCCCGAAATAGCAGTCAGATGTCTCCTTGGATCAAGCAGCTATTACCCCACTAATTAGAAATTATATCCCTGTATGTTATGTTTTTGGAAGTATTTATCCAATTGCAGTTTAAACATCTGTACAGACTCTGATAAAACTACCTCTTCCCGGCAGAGAATTCCATATCATTATAGTTCTTACTGTAAAAAAAAAAAACCTTTTCTTTGCCTTAGCTGGAGGAGCATGCTATATATTTAGGGGGAACCTGGGTGGGCGGGAGGAGGGAAGGGTTGGTGGGTAGTGCGTAGGGAAAATGCAAAGCTTGTGTCTTGTTGGTTCTGGAAGTGTAAGGTGAGGCCTGAAGAGCAGAGATGTATATGGAGCGTAGGAAAAAGGGGGAGGGGGAGAGTAGCCATGTGTTGTATACAATTAAAAATTTAGCAACCAAATTCTAACACCCAAAATATTAATAACTGTGTGCATGAAATATTGGTCAGAAACATTAAATGACAATAATAAATACTGCATGCACAGAAAATTACAGTGGCAAGCTACAGGTATAATTGGAAACAATTATATAGTTAAACATGATAATATGGTAGCAATGCAAGAATAAATGAGGTGAAGTATCTTCCAAGCTTCAGTCAATACCTCGGAGTTATGGCAGTTCGTGCAGGATGTTAAATGCAGAGCTCCTGTATTGTTGGTTCTGGGAGTGTAAGGTGAGGCCTCGGAGTTGTGGCAGTTCGTGCAGGATGTTAAATGCAGTGCTCCTACTTCTACTTACTTCTTCGTAGAATGCAATTAAGTTAGTTTGACATGACCTATGTTTCATTAAACCATGCTGATTATTGCTAATAAAGTTCTTCCCAATTAATTCCTGAATATTATTCCTTAATAGCCCTTCAAATATTTTCCCAGACACAGAAGTTAAGCTCACAGGTTTATAATTTCCAGGCAAGGATTTTGAACTTTTTTTTTTTTTTTTAATTCTTTATTTTTGTTGTGCAGGTGGGTACATCATATTAACAGTCGCCACAACAGCATATTGCAAGATATAGAACATTTTGACAGTGGCATGAGAATTCGCACAATTTTATGTTTTTTTAAAGCATGCTTAATTAGACAGATTTATGAAGTAAGATTAGCTAACATACAATGATATAAACTGACGATTAGTTATTAATGCTAGTTCTGCTATGCTATCGTTGTCATACTGTATAAGCACGGTTTGCAGTTTAGCAGTTACTAAATGAAATAATACATTTAAAAGTTAAACTATGTGTATTTAAGCTAAGAAACACCAAACAGAAGTTAACATTGCTAGAGTTGGCCTACGTTGTGTAGTCATGTTTCTATACTCTCTAAGCATAATGATGCCCTGCATAAAAACAAGGGTAAGACGCTTTGAAGGTCTTGAGTGGGTTAGTAGACGTAACATCTGAAAGTTGTTAGTGGAGTCTGCACATTTTTAAAAGGTAATACTGACATGCATGAGAATACATTTGCAATGGATGAGTAGCTGCTATATGATCTATAGTTAATGAGCTAATTGCCTGTGGTTAATATACTGTATTGCTTGCTCCACTGCTGCTATACTGAACTAACAGTCTCTCCTGCGATTTGCCAGGGCCATACTGTGAGACATACTGCGAGGTGGGATCTTGCAGTGTCTCTGCTGTAGGGCCTGCAGGGACGCAGATTGTCTCTGGGTCAGTCCGCCTTGGTCAGCCAACACCAGCTCTGAAGGATTGGCGTGTGGGCCCGGAGCGTTGCGGGGTCCCCTCCCTCGTTGGTTGTGGATGGGCTCTGTGCCGGTTTAGTAGGCCGGGCAGCGACCCTGTCGGATCGTGGTCTGCTCTGATCACTTGCCCCATGTTCTGTATTCCGGTCGTGTGGTGAGTAAGGGCGCCCCTGTAGAGGGCAGGTTCACCTTGCAGGCAGCGCAGGGTCTTGGCTGTGTTGCATATTTTTTGGTGTGGTCAACTGTCATTGCCTTCCCGGTATGGAAGTTTCATGGCAGCCATTTTTTGCTTTTCCTTCTGCTGTCCTCTCGTCCAGTCTGGGCCCCTCTGGAGTTTAGGTCGGGTCTCTGCACATCTGTAAGGCCGCCTTTGGAGCTGTGCCTTGAGTGTCTCTTGTGTTTCAGTTGTTTTGTGCGGGCTGTGAGTGGCCTTTGTACAGTTCCAGGTTACTGGGTTACCCTTCTTGCGGGTGGGGTTCCGGGGGTGCGCCCTATCTCCCCTTGTGCTTCCATGCTGTGGACCCTGCCTCATGTTGCCAGGTGGGAATCCCTTTTGGGGGGACTGCATCAGGGCCACCAGCTTCTCCCAGAGGGCACCGAAGATGCGGTCGTATCGGCGTTTAGTTTCCCTCTCAATTATGTGCAGAGCTGAGGTCTGTGGGTTGGGCGCCATCTTGCCTGCTCCACTTGTGGCCTCTGTGCTTCGCGGTCGTGTATTCTGGTGAGTGCTTGTACACTTGCTTGTGTGGGTGTGGACCGGGATGACCCCCACCGGTCCAGGGGGGGGGGAACGCGGGCTCTGTGGTAAGTTTCCAGGCATTCTAAGCTGCGGGGGAGCGTCCGTCTCTCCCGTACCTGCTCTTCTGGTAGGCCTCGCCAGTGTGTCAGGCACGTACCGGGTAGGTAGTCACTTGTTGGGTATCGTTGTGTCCACCCTGGCAGCCCCCGTCATCTGGTGACCTTTGTTTGGCTTTTAAAAGCTGTTTCAGCGGCTTTGTGGCGTTTTTTCTGGCAATGGTTGCAGGAGCTGTGGTGATTAGCGTCTGCTCGATGCTGCGGTCAGGCCCCGCCCCGCCCCGATTTTGAACTTTTTTACATATAGGAACAACAGCTGCCTTTCTCTAATCCGCCGGTATAATACCTGAAACAAAAGAATCGTGAAAGATTAAATACAGAGGTTCACTTATTTCCCCAAATCGCTCCTTAAATACTCGTGGGTGAATACCATCAGGCCCTGGAGCTTTATTTACATTATTTTTTTTTTAACTGCTGTAGCACCTTGTCTCGAGTTATCCAATCACAAGTTATCTGCAAGTTTTTGCAGCAATCATTTGTATCATTAGGATCCTCATTAAAATATACTGAAGAAAAATAGTTATTTAAAATGTCTGCCTTTTCCTGGCCTTTATTATCTTATAGAGTCAGACCCATATCTATTTCCAGTGTACCTATACTTTCAATTTTTGTTTTTTTAGAATTGAAGTACCTGAAAAAAATGTGGGGGTTGGTTTTGCATTCTTTGGTTATCAATTTCTCATTTTCTAGTTTAGCCACTTTAATTGCCTTTATGCAAGTATTATTGGCTTCCTTATATCTTATTTGTCCGATTTAAATGCCCTTTTCTTATTTTTAATCTCGTGTTTTACTTCTCTACTAAGCCACATTGATTTTAACTTGTTTCTTTTATATTTATTACCCAATGGTACATACTGAGAAATGTACCTTTCTAATATGTGTTTGAAGAGCTTCCATTTATCCCCAGTGTTTTTATCACTAAGGAGTTGATGCCAGTCGATCTGTTGTAGAGTTGCCCTAACCTTTTGAAATTGGCTTTTTTTAAACATTCTTTATTTATTGTTTTCCGGTGTGGAAAAAGAAAACATTAGGGTACAGAAATGAAAGAGGGAGGGGGTGATACAGCCACAATGGTACAGGAGCACAATATTTTACTTGTCTTTGCGCCTTAGGGTGTTGCGAACAAGTAGCTGTGTCTTGGTGCGGTCCGTTGGTTAGGCGTTTATCGTGCAATAGTGTGGGGTTCAGGGATTTCTGTTTTGGACTTATTCCCTTTGCCCGATTCGTTTGGACAAGTCTGTATTGGTGGCCGTATGAGATTTGCGGTTCGTCTCGTTAACCGTTTTGTGGTAGGGTGGGATGCCCTCTTTTGACTATTTTTATCGTCCTCGTTGCGTAATAATGGGCGCCCCTGTGTCTGGGTAGTCAGTTGGGGGGGGGGTGGAGAACCTATGTACAAGGGTGAGAGTACCATGGTGGGACACTGTTTCGGGAGCCCAGTAGACATCCAATGGTTCGGGTTGGAGTAATATTTGTACTGTGAGTTTCCGTGCGTTGGTATTTTTTTTTTTCAATTTGACAATTTTTATTTTTATTTGTCAGAACTTGGGGTACAGAAAAAAGAAGGGGGGGGTTAGAAGGGGAAGGATAAGCACAAAATACTGGCATGATATGGTATGCAGTACATAGATACGTCAGTACAAGGATACAATACGTAATTGCAATGCATAAATACATAATTACAGTGTATAAATACAGTACTCCCATTTCCTCTATGTGTGATCTATGGGGTCCTGCCCCTGCTTGTCCTATTGCTATAGTTTGGATAAGTTGTCCCTGTTAGAGTTCCCCTAGGTGGGAGTTGGAGCTTGGTGTCCCTTGGTGTGCATAATGTAAAGCAAGCCTACTGAGCCCGAGGGCCTTTCCTTCGCGTAGTGCCTCATAAGGGTGAAAGGGGGGTGGTGTGGGTAGTAATGAGGTCTGACACCTTTCTTTCCATCAGTTTTCGTGGGTATATCAATCCACTCATGACTTCAATACTTAAGGATTTTATGAGTTGTTGGTTACTAGCTCATGTGCATTGGGTGTCGTGTCGTGTGCCCTCTAATGTAGTGAGGTGGTGGGGCTACCGGAGCCGTACATCCTATGGGTTGTGTACCCGTTGGTTAAGTTATAGGCCCAATTATGTTGGGTGTTTTAACTCCCAATTTTCCCATACTTCCCTTTTCCAGCTATTTCCTGGTGACATTCTTGAGATATTGGATATCTTGTGTTGCTGCATTGTTGGGCGATAGCCAGTTTTTTGCTACTAGTTGTTGAGCTGCTACTAGTATGTGAAATATTAAGTATCGTACAGGTTTAGGGTAGGTGGTGCCCAGCATAAAGAGAAGTAGAGAGGTAGGGGTGTTTGGTATGGTGTGCGTTGGTATTTTGATCGCTATGTTGGAATAGCGGGCCTGGTGGGTGAGCTGGAGGCTGTCCGTGTGCCCTTATTGTAGGTGGGGATCAGATAACCAGGGGTCCCAGATTCTGTGGAAGTGTTTAGAGGTCTCATGAATTATGGCTGATAGCCTATCCATGTGTATTGCTTCCTTGGTTTTGCGTATGATCGTTTGCAGTGTGGGGGTGTTTGGCGATCCCCATACTTTCGGCTATTGCCCGTCTAGTCGCTAAGGCTATCCGGTTTGTCATTTTGTTTTGGGCTCTGGTCAGGTCCTCTCGTGGTCTGGAGAGGAGCCAGGTCCAGGGGTCTAATGGTATGGTGGTCTGGAGGAGTGTTGAGACTAGGGTAGCTACTTCCGCCCACAATGGGGCCAGTTTAGGGCAATGCCACCATGTGTGTATGTATGTGCCTCTCTGCCCGCAGTTTTTCCAGCATAGGTCCGCGTCTGCTTTGCCCATATGGTACAAACATACCGGGGTTAGGTACCATCGGAGCAGTGTTTTATACGCTTGCTCCTTATGGTTAACGCATATGGATATTGAGGCCGTTGCCTCCCAGATATCTTGCCAGTCAGTGGGGTCGTCCGGTGGCCCTAAGTCCCTCTCCCAGGCCGCCACATATGCCGAGGCCCCCTTGGGTTGGTTGGTGATAAGAAGTGTGTAGTTTTCCGTGATTTGACCTTTGTGGAGTGGATTATGTAGGCATGACCTCTCAAACCGTGTGAGCGTGGTGGTGGCTGCTTTGGCGTTGTCGGGTTGCTCTAAGAAGCTTCGTAGTTGTATGTAGCGAAAGAAATCGTGAGTGGTATATGTTGCCTGCGTGTTGGGAAGGTCGTTGTATGGGGTAATTTGCGTTCCCGTGTAGAAGTGGTGCAGTCTGGACAGGTCGTTTTGTTCGTAGTGTGCAAAGTCTTTGGGTGTTAACCCTGGGGGGAATGCTCTATTGCGTAGTATTGGCGTCAATGGTGTCGGGTTGTTTATGATGGGGAATTTCCGGGACGTTTTATCCCACAAGTCTATTGAGTTTGTGATTGCTGGGGGCAGTGGTGGTGGTAGGGGGCGTGATTTCTTTGGTACCCATATGTAGAGGGATGGGTGGTCGCGTCCGAATAGGTCATGTTCCAGGTCCGCCCATCGTTTGATCCCCTGCGGGGTGTGCCAGTGTTGGATCTGTGTGAGCTGTGCGGCGTAATAGTAGTTTTGGAGATGGGGTAGTCCCAGTCCTCCCGTCCTATTGGGGATGTACATGGTGCTCCTTTTTATTCTGGGTCTTTTATTTGCCCAGATAAAGTTGTCTATTAGTTTTTGGACATATTTTGCGTCTGTTGTGGGGAGTGGGATGGGGAGGGTTTGGAATAGGTAAAGGAAGCGGGGTAGGAGGTTCATCTTTACTGATGCAATGCGGCCTAACCATGATAGTGATAGGTTTTGCCATCTTTTGAGATCGTCCGTTGCTTTCTGTATCATTGGGGTATAGTTCAGGGCGTATGTGCGGTGTAGTGCTGCTGGTAGCTGTATACCTAGGTATGGGATGTGGGATGTGTTGTAGCGAAACCTGTATGTTTCCAGTAGTGTCTCCTTCGTGTCTTGGTCGATATTTATGCTAAGTGCCTCTGTCTTGTCCAGGTTTAGTTTATATCCTGAGGCTGCTGAGTATTCTTTCACCAGTTGTAGGAGTGGTGGGAGGGCGGTGAGGGGTTCAGTTAGCGTTAGGAGCAGGTCATCGGCGTACGCCGCCACCTTGTAAGCTTGGGAGCGTACTATAATGCCCGTGATGGTAGCGGTGGTGCGTATGAGGTGTAAAAGTGGTTCCAATGATAGGGCAAAAAGGATCGGGGACAGTGGGCAGCCCTGCCTCGTTCCGTTATGTATAGGGAAGTGGGGGGGTTGCGCGTTTGGGATGAGTAATTTTGCTTTTGGGACTGAGTAGATCGTTTTGAGGGCTGTCATGAATGGTGTTGGGAATTGGAGTTTCTCTAAGGTGGCGAAGAGGAAGGGCCATAGTAGTCTATCAAATGCCTTCTCGGCGTCAAGGGATAGTAGGAGGGTGGGGATGTGACGGTGATTGGCTACCCATATGAGGTCTAAAGTCCGTCTGGTGTTGTCGCTCGCTTGTCTTGTGGGGACAAATCCGACCTGGTCGGGGTGAATTGTCGATGGGATGTAGGGGAGCAGTCTGTTGGCAAGGATTTTGGTGAAGATTTTGATGTCTACGTTTAATAGGGAAATGGGTCTGTAGTGACCTGGTTCCGTATGCGGTTTGCCAGGTTTGGGTAGTAGGCAAATGTTTGCCTCCAGCATGTCCTCGGGCAGCTGATCTCCAGTCATGAGCGAGTTATATAGCTTTGTCATGTGGGGTAGCAGGTTGTCTGTGAATGTTTTGTAGTAGATGCCCGAGTATCCGTCCGGACCTGGGCTTTTGTTGGGTTTCGTGGT